TGGGAGAGTCTTGATTACCTCTTCGATTTCCTTTGTTGTTATTGGTCTGTTCAAGTTTTCTATCTCTTCTGGGTCCAGTTTTGGGAGTGTTTGTGTGTTTCTAGAAATTTGTCCATTTCACTTAGATTTTTGAATTTGTTGCCATATAGTTGTTCATAGTAGTTGTTAACGATCTTTTGTATTTCTGTGGTGTCAGTTGTTACTTCTCCTCTTTCATTTCTGATTTTGTGCATTTGGGTTCTCTCTCTTTGTTTCTTGGTGAATCTAGCTGAAGGTTCATCAATCTTGTTTATCTTTAAAAAAAAACAACTCTTTGTTTCATTGATCCTTTGAATTGTTTTTTTGGTCTCTATGTCATTTATTTCTGGTCTGATCTTTACTATTTCCTTCCTTCTTCTTGCTCTGGGGTTTTCTTTTTGTTTGCTTTCTAATTCTTTAAGTTGTGAGGTTAGACAGTCAATTAGAAATTTTTCTTGTTTTTTGAGGTAGGCATATAGTGCTATGAACTTCCCTCTCAGAACTGCTTTTGCTGCATCCCATAGATTTTGTGTTGTTGTGTGTTCATTTTCATTGGTTTCCAAGAAGTTTTTAATTTCTTCCTTGATCTCCTCGGTCACCCATTCATTGTTTAATAACATGTGATTTAGCCTCCATGTGTTGAAATGTCTTTGCATGTTCTTGTTGCAATTGATTTCTAGTTTCATGCCATTGTGATCTGAGAAGATGCTTGATATGATTTTAATCTTCTTCGACTTGTAGAAATTTAGTTTGTGTCCTATCATGTGGTCTATCTTTGAGAATGTCCCTTGTGCACTTGAGAAGAATGTGTATTCTGTAGATTTGGGGTGTAATTATCTGTAGATATCTAGTAAATCCATTTGGTCTAGTGCTTCATTTAGAGTCTCTGTTTCCTTGCTAATTTTTTGTCTAGAGGATCTATCCAGTGTTGTCAACGGGGTGTTGAAGTCCCCTGCTATGATTGTATTGCTGTCAATTTCTCCTTGGAAGTCCTCCAGAGGATTTTTAATATATTTTGGTGCTCCTCTATTGGGTTCATATATGTTTATCAAGGTTATATCTTCCTGTTGGATAGATCCTTTCAATATTATGTAGTGGCCGTCTTTGTCTCTAGTTATGGTCTTCATTTTGAAATCTATTTTATCAGATATAAGAATTGCTACCCCAGCTTTTTTTTGCTTTCCATTTGCTTGGAAAATTTTTTTTCCATCCCTTCACTTTCAACCTATGTGAGTCTTTTGTTGTGAGGTGGGTCTCTTGTAAACAACATATAGATGAGTCATGCTTTCTTATCCAATCAGCTACTCTGTGTCTTTTTATGGGAGCATTCAATCCATTTACATTTAAGGTGATTATTGATATGTACTTATTTATTGCCATTTTTGTTTAGTGTGGTTCTATTTTTCTTCCCATTTCTATGGCTAATTACAGCAGTCCTTTTAACATTTCTTGCAGTGCTGGTTTGGTGCTAATGTATTCCCTTAGCCTTTTTTTGTCTGGGAAGCTCTTTATTTGACCTTCTATTTTGAATGATAGCCTTGCTGGGTAGAGTAGTCTTGGATTCAGATTCTAGTTTTTCATGACCTTGATTACTTCATGCCATTCCCTTCTGGCCTGTAGTGTTTCTGGTGAGAAGTCAGCTGAGAGCCTTATGGGGTTTCCTTTGTAGGTAACCTGTTGCTTATCTCTTGCTGCTTTTAGGATTCTCTCTTTGTCTTTAATTTGTGGCATTTTAATTACTATGTGTCTTGGTGTGGGCCTGTTTGGGTTCTTCTTACTTAGGACTCTCTGTGCTTCTTGAACTTGAATGCCTTCTTCCTTCACCAAATTAGGGAAGTTTTCTGTCACTATTTTTTTGAATATATTCTCTATCCCTTGCTCATTTTCTTCTTCTTCGGTGACTCCTATGATGCGAATATTATTACATTTCCAGTTGTCCCACAGTTCTCTTAAGCTGTCTTCCTGTTTTTTAATAGTTTTTTCCTTTTGTTTTTCTGATTGGTTGATTTTTTCTACCCTGTCTTCTAATTCACTGATCCAGTCCTCAGCTTCCTCTACTCTGCTTTTTAAACCTTCCAATGTGTTTTTCATTTCTGATATGTCATTTTTTTATCTCTTCTTGATGGTTTTTAATTTCCAATTGGCTTATTTTCAGTGTCTCTATGTCCTTACTCATGCTGTTCAGCTTCCTCAAGATCATGGCTCTGAATTCTAGCTCTGTTAACATGCCTAATTGCTCCACATTGATCTTGTCTTCGGTGGAGGTCTCTTGCTCTTTCCTTTGGCTTCTGTTTCTGTGTTTCACCATTTTGGGTATCACAGTGGGCTTTGGAGCCTGTCAAGTTTTCCCATGGTTGTTGGTGTTCTGCTGTTTGTGGCTCCCTCTCCTGTGTTTAGATGAGCGAGGGAGGACCCACGTTAAACACCACTGTCAAGTCTTACTTTCCTGGTTAAAGTTGCCAGCCCAGGAAAGGTACTGCTATCCTCTAGCTTTTTGCCTGGAGGCTAGCAGTCGTGGTTACTTGATGAGTTTTGGGTTGTCAGTTGATTGAAAAAGTCCCTCAGGTGCTCAGCACAAGGGGATTTCACGAGGGTGGGGCAAATGCTGGTTGTTAATGAGCCTCAATTAGCACTTCAATGGCCCACAGGTGGGGTTGGATCCAAGGGAGGGGCCACTGCCTCTCCTCAGAGCCCTGGGAAGGAGCAATAAGGCCAAGCTCCTGCATGGCTGCCACTCAGCAAAAGCTCTGAGCGCCCCCCAAATCCCGAGTGTCCCACACAGTTCCAGTCCAGTCTGCCCTCCCTCTGCCGGAGCCCAAGGTGAGTTGCTGTGGCTGTTTCAGCCTCTGTCCTGGCTGCGCTGTGGAGCCGCCTGGGAGTGTAACCCGAGGGTGCTGCTCCCAGCTAAGGCCGCTGCCGAGCTGCTGACCGTGGGCTCCCTGCCCCCGTCTCGCGCCTTCGCAAGCCTACCGGGATGGAGTCAGTGTCCCTCGTTATATGGTCCTCCAAGCTGCTTTTCTGTTGCTTTTTTTTTGTCAATTTGTGTTATAGTTGTAATTCCAGTTTGGTTCTGGGAGATGGTCTGTGTAGCTTCCATTCACTCCGCCGCCATTTTTTGTTTTTTTCAGTTCAATTTTTAATTTTTTGAGGTAACACCACATTGTTTTCTATAGTGGCTGCACCAGTCTGCATTCCCACCAGCAGTGCACTAGAGTCCCCTTCTCTCCACACCATCGCCAACACTTGTTGTTTGATGATTTGTTGATGGCGGCCATTCTGACAGGTGTGAGGTGATACCTCATTGTTGTTTTAATTTGCATCTCTCTGATGATCAGTGATGTTGAGCATTTCTTCATATGTCTCTTGGCCATTTGTATGTCCTGTTTGGAGAGGTGTCTATTTAGGTCCTCTGCCCATTTTTTAATTGGGTTCTTTGTCTTCCTTTTGTTGAGCTGTATGTGCCCTCTATATATTGGAAATTAACCCCTTATCTGATGTATCATTGGCAGTTATGCTCTCTCATAGAGTGGGTTGCCTTTCCACTTTGGTGGTTGTTTCTTTTGCTGTGCAGATGCTTTTGAGTTTGATGTAGTCCCATGTGTTCATTTTCTACTTTGTTTCTGTTGTCTTAGGTGATGTATCAGTGAAAATTCTGCTGCGTATGAAATCTGAAATTTTGTTGCCTACAGTTTCTTCTATGATTTTTATGGATTCATGAGTCACATTTAAATCTTTTATCCATTTTGAGTTTATTCTTGTGTATGGTGTAAGTTGGTGGTCTAGCTTCATTTTTTTGCATGTTGCTGTCCAATTTTCCCAGCACCATTTATTAAAGAGGCTGTCTTTACTCCACTGTATGCTCTTGCCCCCTTTATCAGATATTAATTGAGCATATTGTCTTGGGTCCATTTCTGTTTCATTGATCTATCTGCCTGTTCTTGTGCTAGTACCAGGCTGTTTTGATTACAGTGGCTTTGTAGTATAACCTGAAATCTGGTAATGTGATCCCTCCAACTTTGTTCTTCCTTTTCAAGATTGCTGTGGCTGTTCGGAGTCTTTTTGGTTCCATATGAACTTTTGAAGTATTTGTTCTAGTCTGTGAAGTATACCGTTGGTATTTTGATGGGGATTGCACTGAATCTATAGATTGCATTGGGTAATATGGACATTTTAATGATGTTAATTCTTCCAATCCATGAACAAAATATGTGCTTCCACTTTTTTATATCTTCCTGTATTTTTTTTTTCAATGACCTATAGTTTTCTGCAAATAGGTCCTTTATTTCTTTGGTTAAGTTTATTCCTACGTATCTTAATTTTCTAGGGAACATTTAGAGATGGACATGATAGTAGCTCCTTTCCCAAACTCTCCACTCAGGCCTGCGGTGACATGAGTGAGCTCCACAAGACCTAGAAATGTTCCTCTATTACTTTTGCTTCCTGTGAGTGAGTAGGAATCTCCTCCCTTCTGCTGGAATATGGACAACATCGTTAGTGTAAGAAAGTGGGCATTACACCAATTCTAATTCTATTATGGGAAATTTTGTGGGTTTTGTAGCTCAATAGCATCTTGAGAGGAATTAACTGATAATGAAATTCATTCTGAAGGACAGGTGGATGGCACTGGTTTTTAACCTGGGGTCCTCAGATCCAGTAGTGTCCAATGAAGCATGTTTTCTACTTTGCCAATAGTTTCTTTCCAATGTTGGAGTGGATAGACATGGAGTTATCCAACTGAACCAAGTAATAACTACAAATGATAGAAGCACTAGCGGATGCCAGAATGATTTTATTCTGTGAAGAAGGTCTTCTCATTGATCACCTGGCAATACAACCCTTAAATTTTCCTCTTAAATACTTTCATGAACAATTTTTTTCAAGAATTTGCCTAGTACTAATGGTATTTACAAGTATGATTGGTTTTAAATCATTTGGCTTAATACAGCAGTTTTCCATTATTTTATTATTTGATTTCTTATTAGACTTTTCAGGTCAAGAATGTGAAGAGTCTGAACTGATCTCTCATTTGATGCCTGGGACCGAGAGCAGAACGGCTGTCTCCCCGTTTGCCTGCCTGTCCAACTTGACTGATCAGCATTTATTTGATATTGATGTGGTCAATGATGTATGTACATTTTGCCGTGAAACTTTCTTTTATCCTGTTTATTATTTAAGAGAAATAATTTTATGTGATTATAATACTAGCTCAGAGCCATATTAAAACAAAGCCATATTATTCATATTCTAGCATGGCAGTACTTTTCACAGAAGAGGTTTTTGCTTTTACTATATAAGTAGTTTTAAAATAGAAACATTTAGTTAGATAACAGAAGGAATGTTATTCTCTCAGTTAACCATCATATATAAATATGTTATCTTACTTGTGTGAATCACTATAGCATAAATTCTTGCCACCCCAGGTGTGAACCAGACCAGCAACATTAGTATCACCTGCTAGGAAGGAGGTATCTTGGGAGCTATCTAAGAACATTTGAGTTCAAAATACACATTAACATGAAACTGACTCATAGATGCTGAGAACAGACTCCTGGTTGCCAGAGTGGAGGAGGGTTGGGAGTCTGGGAATAAAAGATGACAGGATTGAGAAGTACAGATTGTAGTTACAAAATAGTCGTGGGGGTGTAAAATAAAACATAGGAAAAACAGTCAATAATATGGTAATAACTAGGAATGGTGCCAGATGGGGACTGGAACTATCAGGAGAAATACTTTGTAAAGTGTATGATTGTCTAAACATTGTGCTGTACACCTGAAACGAATACAAAAATAATACTGAATGTAAACTATAATTGAAAAAAATAACAAAAAAGTGCGCGCACATGCACTCACACACACAAAGAAAACATTGGCGGAGGCCTGTTATGGATCATGTGAGGGCAGTTTGTGTTTGCTTCACTTGTGTGACCCCTGCACCTAATGATGGTGCACAGTGAAGAGTAGGAACTCAGTACCTATGTATCAAGCACTTAAATTTTAAAACTGATCTCAGAGTTTCTTCATTTACTGCCCCACTAGACTGGGAGTAATGAGACAGCCAGTCCTACCTGGACCCCTGACAGCTCATCGTAGCATGTTGGTGGAAATAAATTTCAATGACTGTGACTATAGCATTGGCCCAAATCAGATTCTTATATCCTGAAGGAAAAAAGGACACGTGTCTGAAAAAAAGAATAAGCGCTGGTTTTATTATGTGTAGCAGCTACCAATATAAATTTGTAAGCTCACAAATATCTTTTCTGGAAAAATGATTAAAAAAATATTGGTGGACTATTTCCGAGGTTGTAAAAGTGACTGTGTCTTTTGAAATTCTAAATAAATTGGATCATTTTCGTGAATTTAAAAATAGTTTTAATATTTTGAATATTGATGTTTTTATTGACTTTATTTGGTCACATGTTAATTTGGAGAACCTTAATCCACTGAGCATTTGACAATATTTTATTAAAATATATTGGGTTGTTTCAGTTAGCTAGATGTAATGAACCACAATAATCAAACTGTATACTAGGTTGAGGCATATCTCAAAAGAAAATGCTAACACTTGAAATCTCTGCATTCCTCAGGCTATGTTACGAACAATTGATGTGAATGTTAAAAATGTTCCTTTCCTTTGTTTGAACAAATATAAGAATGGAAGGAAGTTTCCATTGAATGGTTATGTATTGAACTTCTACAAAAACCGTTCCCTGTCAGCACTCACTTTGGATAACTGGTATGACTTTCTCTATTTTAGCATTCTTTGTAGACATACATATGTTTGTGTAATTAATGTTCATTGTGCTCTGGCATTATAACTTATGAGGATAATATTAAGATGCAGTAATTTAAGAAGAGTCATGAAGATGTATCTTACTTGGAACTATTTTTAAATGTCACTTATTATTCTTATTATTGAGGGGAAGTTCACATAACATAAAAGTAACTACATGAAAGTGAACTGTTTGGCAATATTTGGTACGTTTGTAATGTTGTGTAACAACCACCTCTATCTATCTGCTAAACATTTTCCTTAGCCCAAAGGTAAAATCTTTACCATTAACAGTAACTGCCTTTGCCCATCCTCTGGCAACTATCTGCTCTCCGTCTCTATAGATTTACCTCATCTGAATACTAAAGTAAGTAAAATCATATGTGATCTTTTATGTCTGACTTCTTTCATTATAATATTTCAAAGTTGTAGCATTATCACTTCTTATAGCTGAACAATATTCCATTGTATGTATATATACAATTTGTTTATCCAGGTGATTAACATTTGGGTTTTTTCAACTTTTGGTTATCGTGAAGAGTGCTGCTATGAACATGCATATACATGTATTTGTTTGAGTCCTTGTTTTTAATTCTTTTGGATATATTTGTAGGAGTACAATTGCTGGGTCATAGAATAACTCTATATTTAACTTTTTGAGAAACCACTGAAATATTTTTCACAGCAATTGAACCATTCATTTTACGTTACCACCAGCAAAGGACAAGGTTTCTATTTTCTCCATAATCTTACCACATATGTTATTTTCTTTTTTTAAAAAAAGTATAGCCATTGTAGTGGGTGTGAAGTGATAATTTCATTGTAGTTTTGATTTGAATTTTCTTATACACTGATTATGTTGAGCACCTTTCACCTTTTCATGTTATGAAAATATTTATATATTCTTTGGAGAAATGTGTATTCAAGGTTTTTGCCCATTTTTTAATTGTGTTGTTTTTGGTTTTGTTCTTGAGTTGTAGAAGTTGTTTATATATTTTGGATAATAGACCCTTATCAGGTATATGATATATAAATATTCTCTCCTTTTCTATAAGTTATCTTTTCATTTTCTTGATAATGTTCTTTGATATGCAAAAGTTTTAATATTGATAAAGTCTAATGTATTCTTCCATGTTGCTAATGCTTTTGGTGTCATATTTAAGTATCCATTCACAAATCCAAGGTTATGAAGATTTATCCCTATGTTTCCTACTAAGAGTGTTACAGTTTTAACTCTTATATTTTGATCATTAATTTATGTTAGAATAAATTTTGCTATATGATATGAGATAAGGTCCACTTTCATTCATTTGCATGTGGGTATACAGTTGTCCCAACACCATTAAAAAAAAGAAATTCATTTCTCACTGGATAGTCTTGACACCTGGTCAAAAATCAGTTGGCTATATAGATATGGGTTTATTTCTGAACTCTCAATTCTATTTTATTAGTATATAGATCAATCTGTATGCTAGTACCACACTGTTTTACTATAGTTCTTCAAATAGGGGAGTGTGAGTTTTCAAATTTTGTTGTTTGTATTCAATATTTTTTCAGCTATTCAAGGTCCTTTGCAATTCCATATGGATTTGAGGATTGTCTTTTCCATTTCTGCAATAAAGAATGTGGACATTTTGATAGGGATTGCAATGGATGTATCAGCACTTTGGATAATATTATCATATTAACAATAATAAGTCTTTCAATCCATAAGCATAAGATGTCTTTCAATTTTTTAGGTCTTCTTTAATTTCCTTCAGCCGGGTGGTAGCTTTCAGTGTACAAATCTTTAACCTCTTTGGTTAAATTTATTTCTAGGATTTTATTTGCAATTGTAATTGGATTTTTTCCTTGACATCCTTTTCAGAAAGTAACTTGCTTGTGCATAGAAACAACTAATTATTGAATATTGATCTTGTATTCTACAACTTTACCAAATTTATTTACTAGATCTAATAGTTACTTTGTGGATTCTTTGGGATTTTCTATGTATGGAATCATCATTTCTGAATTAAGAGAGTTTTACTTCTTTTTTTCTAATTTGGATGCTTTTTTTTCCTTCTTCTTACCTGATTACTCTGGTTAGTACTTCCAGTAAAATGTTGAAAAGCACTGGTCAAAGCAGACATCCTTGTTTAGTTCCTCATCTTAGGAAAAAGCTTTCAGTCTTTGATCATTGTGATATGAGCTGTGAGATTTTCCATAAATGTTCTCTATAATGGTGAGGAAGTCCCCTCATATACCTAGTTTTGCTGGGTATTTTTATCATGAAAGGACTTTTTCAAGTGTTTATTCTGCATTAACTGAAGTGATCACATGGCTTTTTTCCTTTATTCTATTAATATGGTGTATTATATTAACTGTTTTTCTTATGTTGAATTTTTTCCATCCCTGGGATAAAGTTTACTAGCTCATAGTGTATAATCTTCTAAATATGCTGCAGGATTCAATTTGCTAGTATTTTGTTGAGGATTTTTACATCTATATTCATAATGGATAATGGTCTGTAGTTTTCTTTTCTTGTAATATCTTAGTTTGGTTTTGGTATCGGGGTAATGTAGACCTCATAAAATGAACTAGGAAGAGTGGCGTTAATTATTCTTTAAATGATTGAATTCAAATGTTAAGCCAGCTGGCCTGGACATTTTTGTTGTTGGGGAGTTTTTGATCACTGATTCAATTTCTTTACTTGTTATAAGTTTTATTAGGTTTTCTATTTATTTTAAGTCAGTTTTGGTAATTTTTGTACTTCTATGAATTTGTCCAATTAATCTAGATTATCCAGTATTTTGGTGGAGAGTTTGGTGTTCATAGTACTCTCATATAATTCTTTTTTTTTCCCTACAGCATAGATAGTAATGTTCCTGCGTCTACTCCTGATTTTATTTATTCACATTGTCTTTGTTTTTTTTCGTTGTTAGTGTAGTTAAAGGTTTGTGGATTTTGCTGATCTTTCCTGAGATTCAATCTTTGGTTCATCGATTCTCTTTATTATTTTTCTATTCTCTATTTCATTTATCACTATACTGATGATTCTTTTTATTTCTTTTCCTCTGCTAACTTAGTCTTTAAATCATTCTCCTTTAACTGTCAGTGGGCACACTTTCTTATTTCTTTTCATACTTCAAAAAATTTTTTTGTTTGAGAACTATTCATTTTGAATATTATAATGTAATTCTGGAATTTTCTTCCTTCTCAGGGTTTGTTTTTGTTTCTAGCTGTTGTTTTGCTTAGTGACTTTTCTAAACATTTTTTTTAAGTCTGTATTCTTTATTATTTGTGATCTCTGAAGTCTTTATTTAGTTTGTATTCAGCTAATTTTGACATTTTTTTTTTTTTTTAACACAAGAAGGGAGGGAGGGGAGGAGGGAGGGGAGAGAGAAGAATGAAAATAAAATGTCTCCCGATTTTTGCAGTTTGGCTCAGTGTTAGGATACTCTTGTCGACACTTAGTCCATTTACAATTCTGCCTTGCCCTTCACTTCCTGCTTGCACTAATTGTGGAGACTAGCCAGAGGGTCTTCTCAGATCTTTTCTGAGTGAACGTCCTACTCTAGGCTTGAGCACTGTTTCAGTATACTGGGTGCCTTTTCCCAGATCTTTCTCACAGGTTTTCATTCCTCAGTTATGTTGACTCAACTGTAATCCTTTGCCCTAGGCAGCCGCAGTGGTTCCACTGACTTTCCATTTTTCCTTCCTAACTGAGTTTTAAGCTGGCAAAACAAAGACAAGTGCCTCACCTCAGTCCTTTACACAGCTCCCAGACAGGTTAGGACAGACACATGACACATTCCTTGTTAATAAGGTCAGCTCTGCTCCCTCCGGGACTGGGGATCAGGGCATCCTGGGAACACAGGCTGCCCTATGTTGGAAGGAGGGTGGGGGAAGGGCAAGAAGTGATGTCAAGCTTTCCTACCTTTTCTAACCTTTTTCATGATTTAAATTAAACCTTTGACTATTTCCCAGAGTTTTGAGAGAGCTGATTCTGACCGTTTCTGTATCTATCTATCAATCTATCTATCTATCTCTCTCTCTCTCTCTCTCTCTCTCTCTATCATCTATCTATCATCTATCTATCTATGTATCTATCTACATATTTATGTATGTATGTATGTATGTATATCTATCATCTCTCTATCATCTATCATCTTTCATCTATCTATCTATCCATCTATCTATCTATCTATCTATCATCTTTGTATGTATGCATGCATGTATGTATGTATGTATCTATCATCTATCTATCATCTATCTATCTATCTATCTATCTATCTATCTATCTATCTATCTATCTATCTCTTTGTATCTATTATCTATGTATGTATGTATGCATGCATGTATGTATGTATCTATCATCTATGTATGTATGTATGTAACTATCATCTATCTTTGTATCTATGTATGTATCGATCATCTACCTATCTTTCATCTATCTATCTATCTATCTATCTATCTATCTATCTATCTATCTATCTATCATCATGTATCTTTTATCTATCTATCTATCTATCTATCTATCTATCTATCTATCTATCATCTATCTTTCAATCTATCTTTCATCTATCTATCATCTATCTTTCATTTATTTATCTATCTATAATTTATCTTTCAATCTATCTATCATCTATCTTTCATCTATCTATCTATATCTATCTATCTATCTATCTATCTATCTATCTATCTATCTATCATCTATCTTTGTATGTATGTATGTATGTATGTATGTATCTATCTATCTATCATCTATCTTTCAATCTATCATCTATCTTTCATCTATCTATCTATCTATCTATCTATCTATCTATCTATCTATCTATCTATCATCTATCATCTGTCTATCTTTCACCTATCTATCTATCTATCTATCTATCTATCTATCTATCTATCTATCATCATCTATCTATCTATCTATCTATCATCTATCATCTATCAATCTATCATCTATCATCTGTCTATCTTTCATCTATCTATCTATCTATCTATCTATCTATCTATCTATCTATCTTTGTATGTATGCATGTATGTATGTATCTATCTTTCATCTATCTATCTATCTATCATCTATCTTTCCTCTATCTATTTATCTATCATCTATCTTTGTATGTATGAATGCATGCATGCATGTATGTTTGTATGTATGTGTGTATGTATGTATGTATGTATCTATCTATCTATCTATATCTATCTATCATCTATCAATCTATCTATCTATCACCTATCATCTGTCTATCTTTCATCTATCTATCTATCTTTGTATGTATGCATGTATGTATCTATCTTTCATCTATCTATCTATCTATCTTTGTATCTATCATCTATGTATGTATGTATGTATCTATTATCTATGTATCTATGTATGTATGTATCTATCTATCATCTATCTTTGTATCTATGTATGTATGTATCTATCATCTACCTATCTTTCATCTATCTATCTATCCATCTATCTATCATGTATCTTTTATCTATCTATCTATCATCTATCTTTCAATCTATCTTTCATCTATCATCTATCTATCTATCTATCTATCTATCTATCATCTATCTATCTATCATCTATCTATCTATCATCTATCATCTGTCTATCTTTCATTTATCTATCTATCTATCTATCTATCTATCTATCTATCTATCTATCTATCATCTATCTTTCATCTATCTATCATCTATCTTTGTATGTATGTATGTATGCATGTATGTATGTATCTTTCATCTATCTATCTATCTATCTATCATCTATCTTTCATCTATTTATCTATCTATCATCTATCTTTGTATGTATGTATGCATGCATGTATGTTTGTATGTATGTGTGTATGTATGTATGTATGTATGTATCTATCTATCATCTATCAATCTATCTATCTATCATCTGTCTATCTTTCATCTATCTATCTATCTATCTATCTATCTATCTATCTATCTATCTTTGTATGTATGCATGTATGTATGTATCTATCTTTCATCTATCTATCTTTCATCTATCTATCTTTCATCTATCTATTTTTCATCTATCTATCTATCTATCTATCTATCTATCTATCTATCTATCTTTGTATCTATCATCTATGTATGTATGCATGCATGCATGTGTGTATCTATTATCTATGTATCTATGTATGTATGTATCTATCTATCATCTATCTTTGTATCTATGTATGTATCTATCTATCATCTACCTATCTTTCATCTATCTATCTATCTATCTATCTTTGTATGTATGTATGTATGCATGTATCTATGTATCTATCTTTCATCTATCTATCTATCTATCTATCTATCTATCATCTATCTTTGTATGTATGTATGCATGCATGTATGTTTGTATGTATGTGTGTATGTATTTATGTATCTATCTATCTATCATCTATCAATCTATCTATCATCTGTCTTTCATCTATCTATCTATCTATCTATCTTTGTATGTATGCATGTATGTATGTATCTATCTTTCATCTATCTATCTATCTATCTATCTATCTATCTATCTATCTATCTATCTTTGTATCTATCATCTATGTATGCATGCATGCATATATGTATCTATTATCTATATATATGTATCTATCTATCTATCATCTATCTTTGTATCTATGTATGTATCTATCTATCATCTACCTATCTTTCATCTATCTATCTATCTATCTATCTATCTATCTATCTATCTATCATCTATCTATCTATCTTTGTATGTATGTATGCATGAATGTATGCATGTATGTATGTATCTATCTTTCATCTATTTATCATCTATCTTTCATCTATTTATCTATCTATCTATCTATCTATCTATCTATCTATCTATCTATCTATCATCTATCTTTCATCTATCTACCTCTGTGAAATGATGGGCCCTTGCAGCTGCCTGTGCTGTATTTTTAGTGACATCACTTAAATTTGACACTCTTTTCAACATATGTAAAATACTTAAATGTGGTAGTAATAATGTGCTACTATATTAAAAGAACTGCAAGTCATAATTTTTTAGATAAATGCTTATCCTGTCTACTAGTTTAGTCAATTTAGGAATAAAATGAGCATAGTAAAGTACTGGCTGTGAAGGACAGAGAGTTCTCTGCAGTCTTTCCATATCTGTTTTTATTTTGCTTGTGGAAAAGTCAGCAATTAGGTGGTCATTTATTATTTCCTTTACTTTAGATTGACAAAACACCAGAAACACATTATTCCTTTAAATATATCTTTGTCTTTTTTTCTACAGGTTAAATATGGGAGATGCTTTTCATCTTATCAGAGATTTTGCACTTACTGTTCAGTCTATCAGGTATAGTAAACATTTTTGCATTGAAAGATCATATAACCAGCTAAACACCATTAAGTAAAAATAACAATGATAATAATATGAACACTTAATCTTTTACAGGATTTCACTGAGTGAATTATATGATGATGAAGATGACAATGTTGTATTAGCATTTAAACAACTAAGTAAAACATTCAGATCAATCTTAGGAAGAAGAGCATTAGACTGAATGTTAAACACTACCCAAGTACTGTGCTCCTAGGAAACAGAGATGATCAAAAATGTTTCTTGCCCTTTTGTGTTTCAGGAAATGGTTTACTGCAAAGAACCACCCTTTCTTTTATGACTCCTTGTTTACCTATGACAATCCTCAACATATCCTCCCAATCTTCACTTTTTGTCTCATAAATGATTAGCTGAACTGTTGTCAGTTGACAAAATACCTGCTTACTTGACTTGCCCAACTTTGGTCTGGCTTCTCCTATCCCCACAGGTCCTGGACCCTTAATCCACCCTTAGGCTCCTCCTGAAAACTGCCTGGAGGTATTCTCAGATCAACTGTCCCAGATCAATTGTCCAATCGCAGATCAACTGTGACTGGGAAGGTCAACGAAAGACATTCCCAGATCAACTGTCCAATCATACCACACATTCACACCATTCCATCATACCTGATTATTTCTAGCCTTGTTTTCTTATCTCTAGAAATTAAAATTCTTTTCTGGCTGACCTTGAAGACTGCTGAAAATCTCATAGGCAGAGTGTTAACATTTACCACTTACCCCTTTCTCTATTGCAATAGGCCTCCCCACTTATTGCAATAAGTGTTTCTTTTTAAAATAAAATCTCTCATTGTTTAAATATGGATTTGTTTATTTGATTTTCATTCTGTGCCAAAGAAATAACAATGTATAGCTAAAGTATAGATTTCACAATTTATTGAACAACTTATTGAAAGATGTCCAGTGAGGAAAGTTTTTATTTAAATATCTAAATTCTCATTAGGAATTCTAACAATATTTTTCTTCTGCTAAGAATTTTAGCTTGTACAGTAGCTATGCCAAATGTCTCAGACAATTACTACTTGCAGCTTAAAATGTGACAATATTTTAAAAGATAAAAATCAAACCCAATTTAAAATAATATCATACACCATATCAATGAGTTGAATTTTTTAAAATTTTATTTCTTAATTACAGCTTATATTCAATGTTATTTTGTATTAGTTTCAGATGTATAGCATAGTTTTCGACAATTGTATACTTTACAAAGTGATTCTCCTGAAATTTCAAGTATTCACCTGACATCATACATAGTTATTACAATATTATTGACTATATTCCTTATGTTGTACTTTGTATCTCTGTGACTATTTTGTGACTACCAATTTGTTTTGGATCCCTTCACCTTTTTCACCCAGCTCCCCAACTTCCCTCCCCTCTGGCAACCATCAGTCTGTTCTCTGTGTCTCTGAGTCTGTTTCTATTTTGTTTCTTCGTTTATTTTGTTCTGTAGATTCCACATATAAGTGAAATCATATGGTATTTGTCTTTCTCTGATTGACTCATTTCACTTAACATAAGACCCTCTGGGTCCATCCATGCTGTTGCAAAAGGTAAGATTTCATTCTTTTATGTGGTTGAGTCATATTCCATTGGACATCTTGAGAGTAATGTCAGAAGTCTGAAATGTCTCATGTTGTACCCAGTCATTGTGTGCTCAATGTCCTGTGTCATCCCTCCTGTCAGACGCCAGATTCTGAGTACATTTTTCATTTCTCCTGAGACCAATGGAAACAGATCTGTAGGAAGTGGGCTACAGACAACTGAAAAATGTTCCATGTAGAATAAAGCACTTCTATCTGTTCCACCAGTTCATCTAGTTTTATTGCAGATATGTCCTCATTTTTCTTGTGTGACCTCATTAATCACTGCTTCCTATGATCTCAGTTTCTGTGTTTCCCCTTATTTCTGTTGGGAGCATCTGTTGTGGGCTCATCAATCCATATCTCTGCTTTTATTCTAGGTTAGATTGTGGCATCAATCTAGATTCTCCCCCAAATCTGACCTCAGTGAGGTTGGTTTTTTTTTTGTTTTTTTTCTGCACCTAAGTTACTGAATGTTGAGAGACTTATAGGACCAGGCTGTACTGATGGCACAAGGCATATAATAACTTTCAAAAGACTTTGATGCTGATATTACGAAGCAAAAACAAAAACAATGGGCAAGTGGTTGGTTAGGCACCAACATTAAAAAGAAAAAATAGCTGGAGATAAATTGCCATTACCAGAATAATTGTCAAACACACACACACACACACCTATTTTTACATCTAAGTGTCTGGCACATCTAAGCCTGATAAGCATATACCTGACTGCATTTTGCTGTGTTGTACCTTTGTTTTCTTTTTTTTTTAATTCTTTTATCTTCACCTGAAGATATGTTTATTGATTTTAAAGAGAGAGGAAGGGGGGGAGAGAGAGAGAGAGAGAGAGAGAGAGAGAGAGAGAGAGAGAGATATGAAAGGGCAACATGTATTGGTTGCCTCCCATATGCACCTCAACTGGGGATCAAACCCACAACCTTTGGTGTACAGGATGATGCTTCAATCAACTGAGCCACCTGGCCAGGGCCAGGGCACTTTTATTTCCTTTTAAAGGTGGCTTTATATGTTCACTTTAGCTTTACTGCATTTGTACAAGAGTTTTGAAAATTCTTCTAAGGGGCATGGCCACACACTGTGTTTCCATTGACCTCCAAAGCATGCTAAAGACAACCATAAGCAGAGTCTCTTGTTGTAGACAGTTGATGGCTCACATTTAAATATAATTCAATTTAAGGCATTATGCTTTTTATTATTCCATTATACACAATTTACTAAATTGTTGATTTAGATAATAAGTAAAAATCCAGTCTGCCACAAATGTATCAAGAGTTTTCTTTGGCTTAGAATAATTTTAAAGATAGAAGAGAAAATATGATTCTCTAGTTTCGTTAAAATGCTACTAACAATGCATTTTCATGACAGAATCTATATTTGACATGTCTGAAGAGGAGGGCACAGACCTCGCAAACCTTCCCTTGATTTAGTAGTCTTCTGCATCCCCAGCACAGATGGCAAGCAAAGCTTTCTCATAGTGCCCTGAAGCAAAATGCTGAAAGAAATAATGTATTTGAAATAGAACGTCACAATATTTCTAAAAAGAAGTGCAACTTCTCTGAACTGCAGTATGAAAGACCCATGAGCTATTTATTAGCTTTTCCAAAAGTATTTATTTTTTCATTGAAAGATTTAATCTATCCTTAAAACCATTCCCAGTGGAAGTTGTTGAAAAATAATACCATGGTCAATAGAATGGGGTTTATGTAAATTTGATTGAACACTAATGTATTTTTATAAGAAGAATAACTTAAAATTAAATCTTCTTCCTAGCTTTAGAAAGACATGTCCTAATATTATTGCTACAAATCATTAGAGTCTAGAGGGAAAATTGACAATATGCCTTAAAAAGACTTCTAAATGTTTACATTCACTAGTGAAGCAATTCTACTTCAAGAAATGTATCCTAAGGAAATAATGATCAATTATTGATGAACATAAAGATTTGTGCTAAAAATATACACCATAATATTATGCATAATAGTGAAACATTAAAAAGCAATATAGAATAATGTGGAGTAGTTTGTGTACTTTACAACTTATAAAATAAAAATACTCCTTTAAGTAGTAAAACAGTAATATTTTTATATATATATTTTAAAATAAAGCACCTAAAACAAATTTTATTATGATTATCTGTGATGGACAATTAGGATAACTTTTCTTCTTTTGATGACCTATAATTTCTTTCTTTTTTTTTTTTAATCCTCACTTGAGGATATTTATTTTTCCATTGATTTTTTTTTTTTTTTTTTGGGAAGTAGGGAGGGAGGGAGAGAGAGACAAAAAATATATCGAATGTGAGTGAGACACATCTATTTCCTTGACTGGGAATCCAACCTGAGACTCTTTGGTCCGCGGGTTGACACTCTAACCATTGAGCCAAACTGGTCGGGGCTATAGTTTCTAAATTTTAAAAAACAACAATTGTAGTGAATAAATAGAATTCTAAAACCTATCTTTGTTAAGAATCAACCATGATATTAATGTTCTCTTATGCAATATCATGTCATTAAAATTCACTGCTTTAAACCCACATAGTAAAGTGGCATTAATATGTAAATATTAGTAGATTTCGAGGTGACTGTGATTATTTGCAGTAAATGTATCAGAATTAGTTTATTCATTTAGAAAATGAGTCATAACAATGCATTTCTCAATGAGAAATGTTTATCATCCCTAAAAGTTTAGAGTTTTGAAGGTGGATGTAAGGAGACGTTTATTAAAGAAACACCAATAAGATTTCTTTTAACTGGTTCATCAACTCTTCCTTTAAAAAGCCACTTTGGCTACCCAATAATTTTTGCTTAGAACACATGAAAGAGGAATGTGATCTGTAATTGATGTGAAGGGATTTCCTCAGTTAGCATTGTTGATGCTCTAAATGCGTCTGAGGTACTGAAGTCGATTATCTGTCAGCTTATTTCACTTTTTAGATTTCACCATGAAGTTATTTAAATTAAAACTCTTAACCCTGGCCAGTTTGGTTCAGCCATTAGAGCATCAGCCTGTGGACCAAGGAATCACGGGTTCAATTCTGGTCAAGGGCACATACCTCGCTGCGGTTCATCCCCGGCCCTGGTCAGGTCATGTGACATGGAGGCAACCAGTCAATGTGTCTCTCTCACATCAATGTTTCTCTCTTTCTCTCTCTCTCTCTCCCTCCCTCCCACTCTATCTGATGATAAAGAGAAAAATAGCCTCAGGTAAGAAATAAAAAAAACAAAACAAAATTCATTTCCATTTCAGAAAGGACAAACTATAGGTCAAAAGAAATCATGTATGAGAGACTTACTTTGATATCATGGAAGAGGGATTTTCCATATCTCTCTTTGTATTGTTTTCTTATGGTCATCAGGTCTATTTCACTCCTGGCGATAAGAATCCTGATTAAAGTTTTATTATGGAAACCAAAGTCCTAAAAGACACAGAAAAGGGAAGAAGAAAAGAGAGAGGGAGAGAGAGAGAAAACAGTACTTTACAGTTAATCTGTCTAAAATAGACCCGTCCCCTTTTCTGTAGCAATGTGCTCTTCTTCGTGTAGCCCTCAGACGCTGGCATCACCTTCCG